ATTCTGGATCTAGTTGGAAAATAAATCAGTGATGTGATGGGAAGGTCACCTATGATAAAACACCAATGTACATAAAATAAAAATTAAATATAAAAAATTAAAAATAGGCCTGCAGTGATGAAAGATGGTAATGATTTGTGAATTTAGTTGACACCTATTAAAAGAAAGTGTCAGAATATTAAAAACTATTGATAAACTAAGTTATATATAGGCCTGGTCTTCTGGAGGATGTGTAGCTCTAATGTATTGGCATCATTTATTTCTCACAATACATGTGTTATATACAAATGAAAAATATGATGCTCCAACTTTTTGGATATGCAGAATTCACACTAATTTTTCCTGAGACTGACAACTTCTATCACCTAGATCTCATCAATGAACTCCTTATTTAACCCACCAATGCTTGAATTCAGAGATTTGGCTCTGAATGTTCTCCTCTTCCTTTAACTACATTTGTGCATCAGGCTTAGATCCCTCAGATTACTTCTAGTCTTTTCTATGTAGTTTGACTTTTGTAAACCTTAGCCATAATTGTTATCTTAGTACAATTGAGAGTAACATTGAGAATACCTACAGCTATGCCATAAACCTATCTGTGCAGATGAGCCATTAAAATACAACTACCTTCTCTACATTTAAGATACTCAATCCACACTTGGAATAGCTTTAGGCCTCTACTTCTTGAATATCTACCGATTTTCTTCCTAGGTCCTAATTGTACAAAACTTTAGTTCTTCATCTTTTGGTGGTTTCATACAATGCAATATGAAATGCGGTTATTCATATACTCTTCATGTTAAAGTAGGCAGCATAGTGAAAAGTTGCAATAGATATTTACCCACACAAGTCATAAATTTGACTTCCTTCAGAGTGATTTATGATGGATTCCTTCAATGAACTAGCAGTCTTTAAATCATGTTACAATAGCATCAACACGAAAGTTGTCTTTCTTTCAATAATTTTCCTGCTATTACTGAGGCTCCTTTCAAATCTTGTCACTTTTGCTTTCTAGTTTCATCACTTCCTTCCTTTTCTTGTCCTCTCTCTTATCTGTTCAACATTATAGAGAGTTTTGTATTATAATTAGTCAATTAGATCTTCCAAAAGAATCTCAACTTTATAAGTATACTGCTCCAAGAAATCTTAGCAAAACCATGAATTTTCTATACCAGTCTTATCGTATACTATGTTTTCAAGTGACCCAAGGAATGCATGTATTTCTTCTAACAACTTATTCCCTTACATATCCAGGACCCATATTTTTGACATCCAAGAGGATCTTCTCCTGATCTGATATGTAATAGTCCAACATTGGTGGCATCTTATTGCTATTCATTTGGGTTTTCATTGTAGGGATTGAGCAGCTGAGAAATGGAATGTAACCACAGCATGACTAGTAAAGATCAGCTATACTTAAAATGATATTAGCTCTCCTTGCTCCTGACAGAAGGAGTATGTGTATTCAAATTCTTCCTGGAATATGATTCAAAAAGGAAAATGATCTCCATTCCATCAATAGAAACAAATCCTGTGGTAAACTTGGAGATCTCCATCTGAGCTGCTGACTCATTTCTTTTTTGCATCTCATTGTGTGCTCCATCAGAAAAACATAAAGTGAAAGTGGATGACAGGAAAAAATGCAGTTTACTTTGGGGCAGAATACAATTATCAAAAGGGAAAACCACTGAGAGGTAACTAGAAGTTGATCATATATCTAACTTCTTGGGTCTGTATACTGCCTATCTACCTGAAATCCACCATTTCTGCCTTCAGGGGGCTGATTGTGAATTTTTGGTGCCAATTGCTGCTTACTGATATCACATTCAGCAATGCCACGTAGTATTCCCTAAGCACACTGATTGGGGAATATGGTCCTTGAAATTTTCAGAACCTGAGATGCAAGAAGCTATTTCCTGACATAGCAATTATCAAAGTGGGTCCTCCAATGGTGTATAAGATCAATACATTCCAAGTTTCTGTCATTTATTGGCTCCCAAAGTAAATTTTGATTACAGAAAATTCAAATCAAAGACTAACCAAGGAATCACAGATATTAAGGCTGAAGCAGTGGCTTCCTAGACTAGAGCACATTTCCTGCACTGCAAACAGGAACAGGTGACTCTTAGCAGGAGCATGGAAAATCACATCAAATTCTTGTTTTGCTAAGTTTCTATTGCTTCTGTCCCCTGTAAGTCTGAGCCAGATTTTCTTCTCTGCAATTGTTTATATCCAGTCTCCTGATTAAATCCAGTTAGAAGCTGAACTTTAGTCAGGAACCTGACTGGTAAAATCCCTTATTGCAGACCATATTTTTTCAATCTATTTAAAAATATTTTGACATCAAAATATGGGTCTAAAGATATGCTGCTTTGGAAAAGGGGTTCTTCTTTTGTTTCCACAGTAGATGAGAAGTGGTGGAATCCTTCCAGACTAATTAGGCTTGATAGAGCAAGACACACTGAAAGGTTACCTTGAATACTCCTCAAAAAATTACTTTATTGAAAGAAAAGCAGGAAGCAGTTTAGAGAAAACTATGCCCAATTTCCCAAATATTGTCTGTAAATGTTTGTCTATGTTTAGAGGGGAATATGGTAAAGATATGTGCCTTGGTATCGATATTGATTTATTGATACAAATTTATGGTCAATTTTTTATATCTGTATTTCTGCTCTTGATTAGGATATTGTGTTTCTGAAGCTCATTTTTAAATGTGATGCATAATTAAGAAATATAGATTAATAATAATTATCTATAATAGTCAAGTTTGCAGTATTGTTGCTTAGATATTTTAGATGTATAGAGATATATTTCAATTAGACAGGCATTCTTTACCTCTTTCAGAGACCTTAAGCATATGACATTTAAAATGTTTTAGAACTTAGGGCTTTTCATAATAGTGAGATACATCTGCTCTTGGCAGCAGCAACCTACTTCAAGGGTATGATGGAGTGAAGAGGCTCCTATGGAGTTGAGTGAACATTTGGCAAGAAACTACTCTTGTCCGGACCAGCTGACGAACTGGGCATGTAGGACACACAGAGAAATGACTCTTGACTTGCCAAAATATGAGACTGTCCTTCGGGGCTCCTGCTTCATGAAAGAGTCTACAACACACTCTGAAGGACACAGATGAAAGTGACAAAAAAACTAATAATATATGCTGAACTGTCTTTGAAAGTTTCTGCCTCATGGAATTGTCTGCTGGATACAATGGGCCCATTGGCTAAAGATGGTGCTCCAAAGGTACAGAAAATCTTAAGATGAATGTCCAGGAAGCAAGACATGTCGATAATTTCTAGAGTTTTGGAAATTGCTTACAATGCACTTCCTGTTTACTTAGGAAATATATTATTTTGGAGTCCTTGATGGATTTGAATAATAGATAGTAATAACATAGTTTTCCTTGGTTATAATAAAAGATAAAGTAGATGTTAATCTGTATTTCTTTCTCAATACCTGTTTAGTTATACGTAATTTTACTTAGTTAAAGTAAAAACTTTTCTTCTTATTTAAATGGAAAAGGTGAGGTGATGTTGGATTTCCTCTTGTTTGTTGTGAATACCATTGGTTATTAAAGAAAATCTCTTGGGTGTGTAACAGAAATCGAGTTAGGCAGGGAAAACTAAACTGAATGCTGGGAGAAAGAATGGTGCAGTCATGTAGCCCTGCCTGAGACCGATGCTAGAACTTTACCCAGTAAGCCACAGCCATGTGACAATACACAGTTTATATAGATATAGATTAAATTAAGATGTCAGTGTGGGGGCCAGCCATGATAAGCAAAGTATGGATGTGACACCCAAAGGAAGTTCTTATTTCCAACCACTATCACCTCCCAAAGAAGAACTCAGTCCTTGATAAATTTAGTAAAAGGCCTGATTTTCAGTAGATTACCTTGAAGCAATACCTGGTTTCAGAACCTGACCACCACCCAAGAACTGACCATTCAAAGGATATGCCTAACATTCCAACCTCTGTAGATAGGATCACCTGCCAGTGCACATTCACCAGGACACGCCTAGACAAATGTCAGCCAATCAGGGGTCCTGAACCTCAGAGACCTCTCACCCCCACCTTTACTACAATAAAAATCCAATTCTAATTGAGCTTGGGGCTCTCTGGTTATTCCAATGAGTTGGACACTCAGAGAGTCCAAGTTTGCAAAATTGATTAAAATTAAAGACTCTTTGCTTTTATATACAAGACTCGGTTTCCTTGTTGGCTTTTGCAGGGACCTCACAGATTTGGGCATAACAGTAAGCATTAACCAATAAAAATACTAGAGTCAGTGGGCTAAGCAGTGATTTAAATGATTGTTTCTGTGTGAATATTTCTGGAATCTAGGTGGCCAGGAAATAAACAAGTGGCCTCCTACAACATAAAATGTCATCATAGAACCTATATTCAGAAACTGATGGAAGCAGAAGCAGACATCCACAGTTGATTACAGGGCTGAACTCCCAAAGTCCAGATGAAGAATAGGAAGAGTGAAAATACATGCTACAGGATCAAAGCCATGGTGAGAATACCCACTGAAACAGGTTGCTTGAGCTAATGGTAGCCTAGCACCTCTGGCCTGACAGTGAAGGAGCCAGCATAGTAACAACCAGGCCCTTTGAGTTTTGTGGGACAGATTTATGGCAGTGGCAGACTGGGGGGACTGGGAAAGTGAGACCAGGATTTATTCATCCTGCTTGTTCTGACTTTAGGAAACCCAGTCTCTGAAAGGCTACCTAGCTCAGCCTAGATATAGCAGGAACAAAATGAAAATAAAATATTGTAATTATTACATGCTCATTTTAATTAAAATAAATACCTGATGAAATTGCCTGTGTTTGTGATGTGTCATTTTAAGGTACCGGGAAACCCATACATAAAGCAAATGGGAACCTTTATATATAACATAGTGTTATTTATATGTGATTTTCTTTTGAATAATTGCAAGTTGTACACAGAAAAGCAATGAATACTGGAATACTTCTGTTTATTAGGTTTTCTTTATCTCATGGGAAATACAGTCACAGTGTTTTTACTCTTTGATACTGTGTTATATGCTTACTTCATGTCACAAAATTAGCCTGACTAATAAAATGGGCTGGTTCGTTAGTCCCATATTTTAAGGCAGTTGTAGATCACAGTCCAGTCAGTGGTAAGATATTAAGCATCCTCTGAGTAGGATCAACTTCCATGTTCATGTGGTTGTTCTTATGCTTCTAGACATGAGCATTCAGCATGAAAATACTGCTGAGTAAGTGAGCTATATAAGGAATAAACACAGATATTTTAGACTACATATACATATGAAATAATATATATATATATTTCATGAATAGATTTTAATCATAAAACTTATCAAACAGATAGCAAGAATGGAAATTTATGTTTCCTTCTACATATAAAATGCAATCTAATAGGTGTGTTTATTGAAAAAATAAAGAACAGGGTATGCATTATTCCTTTATACTGTGTGAATCTTTATCATCGCGATTGATTTAATAAAAATACTTAATAGATTATGTCTAGGCAGGATAAGATTAGGCTTAATAACCAGACAAAGGAGTAGTTGGGAGAAATGAAGGAGTCTCAGTATTATGAAAAGCAGTGGGAAGAAGATGTACTTGCTACACTGAGAAAAGGTACCAATCCACATGGTAGAGTACACACAAGAAATATAACTAATTTATAATAATTAGTTAGCTAGGAATAAGCCTTCCCTATTTGCTGAGTGTTTAGAATAACTAAAAATTTTCTCTGTGGTTATTTAGGAACTGTCTTGTGGGACACAAAACTCTGCCTAGTAATGACATTATGATGTGGGGCCCTAATTACATTATAATAACTAAAATATATATTTAAAAATTCTAAGCAATCAAGAAATTGAATCAAAGATGACTTTAGAATAAGGGCCTTTGTTCAGTTAAGATTAGTTTGCTAGAGGCAAACAGGAATGGCTCTCAAAGAGAAAGCTTCTGTGCTAGTAGTTGGCGGCAAACAGGAAGATAGTTCTGTTATGTGGCCCTCCATTCAAATACTTAATAAGGTTTATTTACTCTGAGCTGTACACTACTCAGTTTAAGCATGGAGCTAATAACATCCCTGAGGTGCAGTGGAAATCTCGGCTCCCTGTACTGCAGCCATGAGGCTAGTCTCTGAGGAAACCAAGGGCAAGAAACCAGCTCCAAATGCCATGCAACAACACATGCTGTACTCTGAGCTGTGGTAAACTGCAACTAGCATAGTAGTTTAAGATTTGTCTCATATGATCAAAAAACAATACAGATGTCCAGTAAAAAAGATCAAAACAAAAAAGACTAGAGAGACTGCATGTACTTAAAGTATGCATGTGCCAGTGTCTCTGCAGCTCCTTTCTTTGTTATAAGTGTATTGTGGGTTTAAATGAGATAATATTTAATTAATCACTGATAAGGTGGGATTTAAGGAATTGTATTATTTATTTATTTTTTTATTCATTTTACATTCTAAACCCAGTTCTCCCACCATCTCCTTTTCCTATAGGCTTGCCTCCCCACAGCTCATCACCTGTCATCTCATAAAAAAGGTAAGGCTTCCCCTATGGGGAGGCAACGTAGTTAGACACATTAAGCTTAGGCAGTTCCAAAACCCTACAATATGAATTGAAAATTATTTCTCCTACCAAAGCCCAGGACTATATTCAAATGTCTCAAAATTCATTGTATGCCAGATCAATTATTCTATTGATGCTGGGCTGACATTTAAAGGTCCCAGTATCTTTTTCCATTCTACGTTGGCATTTTCAAAAGCCAGAGATACTAAATGACACATCTAGTTTCTGGGTCTGTGATTCCTACTCTTACTGCCTTAGTTAGTCTTTGTAAAAAGCTACTAATGGGTTCTCTCAGACCACATTTAACCCTGGTATATATTCAGTTCTCTTTCCTGATTCCTGAATCCTGTCCGTCCAAAATGGTAAATGGATGCAAGACACTATTAAGATACTATTGCCTGCTTACTTTCATTTATATCACTGATGCATACAGGTTGCCATTTATATTACTTGATGATAGAAGGATATTTTGTACAAGATGGCTTCTCTGAGCAGAAAACTGAATAAGCAGTTAAAACTCTGTGTTGCAAAAGGAGCAGCGGGTTGCATTCTTGCCGGGATCCAGGCTCTCCAGCAAGTTTACACCCGAAATAATTACACAGAAATCGTATTCATTTAAACACTGCCTGGCCCATTAGTTCTAGCCTCTTATTGGCTAATACTCACATTTTGATCAACCCATTTCTAATAATCTGTGTAACACCACGAGGTGGTGGCTTACCAGGAAAGATTCAACATGTCTGACCTGGCAGCTGGATCCAAGGCATCTGCCTGACTCTGCTTTTCTTTTTCCCACAATTCTGTTCTGTCTTTCCTGCCTACATATGTTCTGACCTATCAGGCCAAGCAATTTTCTTAATTAATCAATGAAAGCAACAGATAGATAGAAGAAAATCCTACATAAACTCTGGGCAAGTCATCCTTGAATTTGACTCATACTGATGAGACTAAATCCTATTCTTGTACCTTCTCTCTCTGCCCATCAGTTCCAATAATATCCTAAATCGTTTCAAAACTTTTTACCACTGACTTTTCTAAAGTTTGAATCTCCAGTCCTATGTGCTATGCTACTGCCTTCATTGATTCATTTAGCTTTTGGTCCTTATTCTGCACATATGACTTCAAGTTATGAATTTTTTTCAGAAATGATAATGTCTCTTTCTTGCATATTATCTGGATGGAGTTCATATTACCTTCCTAGAGAGATAGTTCATCTGATAACTGATCATAATTTTTCAACAGATTCTGATTCTTAAGTTCAACAGTATGAATTATTCATGATAATTTCTCAGCACCCTTCAACACAGATTGGATTCAAACTGTATACTTGAAAGCCTCCATTTCTGTTTGGACTTTTTGTGATTTTGGGTTGTCAAGTACATCTGGCTGCTAAATGTTTTAGATCTTTTTTTCTGTTATTCTATATATTTTTATGTAGCTGAATTAAAATATAAAACACCATATATATTACAGATAATATATTTTATATGTATAATAAAATTATATTTTTCATTACTTGAATATAATACATAATATATTTATATTCACAAAATCAAGCCTCAAAAATGATAGGATTGAAGAAAGGAATATTGATTTCAAGCCCTCTTCCAAATATACCCTACTTGTATATAATAACCCATAGTGTGCTAAAGATAAAGATATAAAATAAGATCAATTGGTTTCATTAAAGAAATTTTTATATATATTCATATTGTCAATTATTAAGATTTTTGGTTGTTTATAAGTTCTTATATCCAATTTCACACATACTTCGTGCTTTTTCTTTAAGTTTTTCTTTCTATGATGGAATTCCTATTAATAAAATCTATTATGTATATTAATATAAAATAATTTTGAAAAAGATCATGCAAAATCCAACTCTAAAACTACTCTCCAATTTTCAAAATAAAAATCATAAAACTAGTCATCATCACTGATTAGGTTTCAGAAGAGATTTGTGTCTTTCATTTGGACTACTTGATTTTAAAATAATCAAACAGCTACAAAACCTAAAATAGAAAAAGGGGGGATACAAAAATAACTTGGTAAGGAAAAATATAAGATTTGAAGCATGACCAAAACAGAAAAACATAAAATACTCTGACAAATGAAGGCTTCCTGAGGATGCATTATCGTATGTAATACTGTTGGTAAATACTCACTAGCGTGTTAAACATTAGCTATACATAAAGTCTTTAAAGAGACAGAATAGAGACAGTCATAGATTAAATGAATAAAGAAAAACAAGTCATGTAAAGATGGAAAATGCATGGATAGTCTATGTTATGCATATTATTGTGCTATTTTAATTTTTTGACTGGGTATGAACTAAGTACAGAGAGACATTTCAAGTTATGCTGCTAATCTAAACCAACAAATATGTTTTAAAGGTATCTTGACTTTAAAATGTGGGTCTAAGGATATATTGCTTGTAAAAGAGGTTCTACTTTTTTTTCACAGGTGGTGAGAACCTGTGGATTCTCCCAAGACTATTGTGGTTCAATGGAACAAGATCCCCTGAAATGTCCTACTGTCCACCATCTCCATCCCCCCGCCCCGAAAATTACTTTGCTCAATAAACAAAAGAAAATAGTTTGGAAAGAACTACAACCAAATGTTCAAAAATAGTTAATAAATGTTCATTTACATTTAATGGGGAATATGCTATAGAGATGTGCATTGGTATGGATTTTGGTTTATTTACACAAATTTAAGAATCAATATTTCTTGCTGAGGTCTCATTAGATCAGTCAGACTGTCTCAGTGGGTGGACGTACCCCTAGCGGTCCTGACTTCCTTGCTCATGTTCTCCCTCCCTTAATTAAGATATCTTCTTCCCTGCTCCCATATCCACCTTCGTATTTAGCTTCTCTAGGATCACAAATTATAGGCTCAATGTCCTTTGCTTATGGCTAGAATGACTGATCTAATGGGAGCTCACCAAGGCCAGAAGGACTGGGACTGAACAAGCATGTGATCAGACCAGACTCTCTGAATGTGGCTGACAATAAGGGCTGACTGAGAAGCCAATGATAATGCACTGGGTTTTTATTCTACTGCATGTACTGGCTTTTTGGGAGTCTAGTCTGTTTGGAAGTACACCTTCCTAGACCTGGATGGGTGGGGGAGAATCTTGGACTTCCCACAGGGCAGGGCACTCTGACTTCTCTTAGGACTGCAGAGGAAGGTGGAGGGGGAGTGGGGGGAGTAGAAGGGAAATGGGAGGAGGTAGAAATTTTTAATGAATAAATAAATTTTAAAAGGAATCAAAATTTCTGATCTTGATTAAGGTATTGTGTTTGTACAGCTAGTTTAAAGATGTAATTTATAATTACATATATTTTAATAGAGAGTCATCTATAATATCCAAGTCTGTAGTTATATTATTTAGGTTTCCGAGATATACAGAGTTATAGTTCAGATGGATTATTACTCTTCAAAGCTCTCAAAGAATAACAGAATATGCTATTAAAAAATCTTTAAAAGTGTAGGACTTTTCCTGACAATTAGACACATACACAGTTGCTTCTGGCAGAACAATTACATCAAGAGAAAGATGGGTATCAAATAGGCTTCTTATGGAGGCAGCTAGACATTTGGGCAGGAAACAGCCTTTGCATGGACTGCTTGCTGTTATGTGTATGAACTGGACATGCAGGACCCACAGAAAA